ACAAGGAGCAAACCCCACCAGAGCACCCACCAACCACCCACAAGTCGGACAAACCCCACCAGAGCACCCACCAACCACCCACAAGTTGGACAAACCCCACCAGAGCACCCACCAACTACCCACAAGTTGGACAAACCCCACCAGAGCACCCACCAACCACCCACAAGTTGGACACGCCCTAACGCACCAGCATGTGCTCGTTGTAAAACTCAGGCACGGTGGCCCTGTAGGGGAGCAGAGCGTCTCCTCTTAGCAGCTCCGTGAGCCTCTTCTCCAGCTGCTGGCGTGACTGAGGGGAATACTGGGGATCCAAACTCCAGCCGTGAGGCACAAACTCATAGCTCAGCTTTCTCGTGTCTGTGCGCCACAAAATAGCAACCTGGAAAAAATAAAAATAAATAGAAAATCAAACCACATAATCGGTAAGCCACAAAATAGCAACCTGGAAAAAATTGTTTAATAAAAAATTAAACCAAAAAATCTGTAAGCCACAAAATAGCAACTTGGAAAAAAAATAAAAATAAAAAATCAAACCATATTATCTGTACGCCACAAAATAGTAACCTAGAGGGCCAACCAACCCATCCACTGGGAAATGTTTTGAAGTAGGTGATTTACGGCACTATCGACTCAGATTTAGTCGTTACCTACAAGATCTAGACAGAGAAAAGATGGAGACAGAAAACTTCCAAAAATCCAGACAACGCTTTCATCACATCATCGGCCATCTTTTCAGATGTACTTACCCCCCAAAATGTGTTTCTAATTCTAGTTTATGATGTTGTATAAAATTGTGGTATGAGTATAACGCCCCTTAACACCCCATAACATTTCTGTATGTCCCTAACGTTCCCCCCTTGATTATGTGGTACCAATTGTGTGCTGAAAAAATATTTTATTGAAGTTCAGATTTCTAAATTTAATAAAAGCAGGAAAAAAACACATAACATAGGTACAATTTTTGCGAGAATGAAACAGTTCTTTCTTCTCCCCTGAAAAACGTTGCTTCCTGCGTGTAAGACATTCGAACAGCTTGCCACCAACATGTTTCCCACGTACCTCTAAGATAGTCTGTGAGCGCGTCTGGTTTCCTTTGGTGAGGGCTTTCACAAAGTTCTGTTGCGTGTCTTCGTACAGATACGTGAACCGAATCCGTTCGGATCCCAGCGGGCTGTTCTGGGCAAATTCCCTGAAGGAAATGCGCGCCTCATCGTGCGACTCTGATTTCTTACAAATTAGAGTCACACACAAGCTGTGAAAAAACATAAAAAGAGAATACTTCATTTAGGGTAATAATGATAAGTAAATTATCCCTCCTCCTTCTTTTCTTAGTATGTACAATTACTCTCTGGCACAAACTCTAATCTTAAGCACTTACATTACCTAATGGTGTTGTTAGTGATGTAGAACTCTTTCTAAATCTAAACTAAAAACATAAGTGTGTAAAAGTCCAGATCATTACAGTGTTGAAAGGGGCATGAAACCTGTACAATTTCACATTTATTTCAAGTACAATTTACAAATCTCTAATTTTCACATCACTTCAATAAAAACTCTACAGTATCAATACAAAAGTCAGGATTATTTTACCTCCTTTTCTTGACTTTGGGCTCCTGTGGACACAATTCCTCAAACACCGACTGTGACGAGAGACGGGGGAGAGCCAGGTAGCGATTGCTGGCCAGGACTTCGTCGATGGTGGACCGGGACAACTGCTGCATCTGTTCAAAGACAGTCACGTCAAATGAGATTTGAGATGATACTTCTTGCCGCCAGCGGAAAACTATACTTTAACCATTGAGATCAAAGACTTAAAACTTAAAAGACCACAAAAAATGAAATCACATTACAATCTTCCCCATCATTTTTTGGTCCGTTCAGTGTATCATCACCTTTGCGGTAAAACCAGCTTTGGCTAGCCGAGGAAATTTAACAGGAGAAGCAAAAAAAACTTATCTGGTTTCATCCTCAACAACCTGGCAGTCAGTGGGTTATTCCGCTTTATTCTTATTTTTAAGCAACTCTACGAGTAATCAAAATTCAGACTTGTCTTTGACAAAGCATACAAAATGGCTAATTTACAATCATTTCAACAAAAAAAAAAGAAAATTTGATATTTTGTAGGTTTCCCAATCTAGTCACAAGGGAGGCAATATATACACATATTTAGAAATGATACATGTAGGGCCCTTTTCTAGACACTCATGTTCAATAAAAAAAAAAAAAAAGCTTCAGAGAGAAAGCAAGGAGCAATCTTCTCCAACATCATTCAGTTTATGCAATCAGCTTCAAATGTGTCAAGACATAGAGTTTGCTCAAAGATTTGGGCATGACTTTCACAGACAAGCAAATATCCAATTGCATTATTAGCCACAATATAACATGTGAGTCAAAACTTTTCAAAAACCCACTGAAAGGGTTTAATTGCTTTACTTCTCAATTATCGAAAGATCCATTTCAAGTACATTTCAAAGTGTCTAAGATGACCATCCATTTTTAAGGAGAAAAATGGCTGTCTTGGACAATGTCATTATATTACATTAAAAATGCAAGGGGGGGGGGGGGGGGATAGGAAGTAGTCCTTTATACAGGTGACTATCTTAGACACGAGGCCGTTAGAGCAGGTTCGAAAGCACTCTGAAAAAAAAAAAAAAACTTAAAGGAGTAGAAAAAGATCAACTCACTGAAATAGAAGCCAGAGTCTGATGAGGGATTTCGTTCCACAAGAGCATGGTCTCCCTGTGTTTGTTAACGTTGTACTGCCGGAGCAGCTTGAGGACGTTAGCGGAGCCCGTGTAGACGTAGCCCGAGGCGATGCGGTCGCGGTGGGCAAACGCCGGCGCTAGGAAGCGCATCGAGGGTTCCTCTTTGGAGCTGAAGAAAATGGCCCTCACTCTATTGTCCTTCCATCCCGACACAAATTCTTCAAAGTTGTCATCGGTGATCTGAAGATAGAAATGGATAAGAAAATATTCAATAAATTTGAAGTTTTCGTTAAAATTTCAATGTTATTACACCCCAATCAATACAAGCCAGTTGGCAGTGGGCATACTACCTGACCCTGTTAAAACTCAAACAAAGTGAGAGAAACACAAGCAAACACATCTATTTTTTCCATCTTGGGAGAGAGAGAGGAGCTTTTGCACAAGCAGAAATATCAAGAAGCTAGCTCGGGTGTGGAAAGTGTTTGTTTGTGACCTATACCCTGACCCAGGGGGAGAAAGGCATTGATGGATGATGAAGATGATGATGATGATGATGATGATGATGATGATGATGATGATGATGATGATGATGATGATGATGGTGATGATTTATATTCTGAATGTTCCTGATGAAGCCCGTTGAGGGCGAAACGTTGAACTTGTCATTAACTATTTTGGAAATACTACCAGGTCTTAACCGTTTTACTATCTGCTGTATACAACGATGATGAAGATGATGATGATGATGATGATGATGATGATGATGATGATGATGATGATGATGATGATGATGATATTGATGATGACCACGACGAGGATGATGACAGAGATAACTTATACGTACAGTGGTCAGGGTGCCGGCAGGAAATAGTTTTTTCACAAAGTCTCTGAGCAGATGGAAGCTGATGGCCGAGTTCTTGTAGTAGGTGATCCGGCCCGAGACCACGGCCAGCAGGTACGGGGCCGTGTGCAGACGCAGGTGGCTGGCCAGGCCGGGGCTTCGCCGGAGGTGAACGGCACCCACGCACATACCTGTGCAAGACAAGACATGGGCTTCTAGTAACACTGGGATCTCAGTTAAAGATGAGCAAAAAGAAGATTTTTTTAAACACAAGATTTTGATTTTGGGGGCGCGAAATTTTAACTTGTTAGTATGGCCAAAAATAAACCAGCCAAGATATTTCGGGATACAGTCATGTCATAGACTTCAAATCAAAGTTAATTGCACGCGAAAGCTAAAAATATATGTATCATGAGAGTATGACTTGTATTTGTTGTGTCAAAGGTTAGGAAGAAATAATGGAAACGCTGACTGTGTTTTTTTGTGGTGACCCGCTTTCCGGACTAACACTGTGAGCTTTGTTCCAACTTTAAAGAGTTAATTTACAACTACCTTATCTTCTACAGGTGCCAAATTCATTTCACACAAAGACCATCAAAGTCCTCTAATCCTCTCCATCATAAAAAGATCTCGTCAATTCAACGTGCCAGAAACTATATATATGAGTTCATACATTTCAGTTTACATGGCTATGAAATAGCATCCATCTTTTGTTTTAACTGTTCTTAACCTTTCTGTCCCACTTTAACCAATATGTTTTAAAACTCTGAATTTTAGATTCATAAATGCATTGAAAAAAGGAACAAAAACAAAAGGAATTGCACCTTTTCTACCTCATTTATAGGAGCACAAATACACTGTATTTGTGATAAAAGCAAACTTACCCACAGCATCCAGTTCGGTCATGAATTTGAAAACCACAGGCTCAATGCGCATACAGTCAAAGCAGAAGTCAGAAAACGCATAGATGAAGCACGGACTCTGATGAGATCTGGGATGCATTTTCGACTCGTACTGGCTGAAAGTGACAACAGAAAGACAGTCACAAATACATAATACAAATATATCCTTACGTACAGTCTATCACACACATGGCGAACAAACACATAGCAAACAGATTTGCAGGTCCCAAATTTTTGCTTATACATTCTTTGTATTCAAAACAGGCATATAGCATTAGTAATTTGTACATAGTAAAAAAAATGAGCGTCAGAGATAGTAGATCAAATTAGATTGCATTTACCATTGTCATGATGAGAGAGAGAGAGAGAGAGAGAGAGAGAGAGAGAGAGAGAGAGAGAGAGAGAAAGCAGGCACAGTATGGGTTTTGCCCAACGATCTCTCCATAAGCCAGGGACAATGCTGAAGAACAAGGATGAGTTTTTTGCATAGGCCTACATGACAAAAATATGCAGCAGAAGATCTGGCTTACACACTTCAGTGGAGTGTGAGAAGTCTGCGGTCACATAAACCAACATTGTGAGAGAGCCTTGCAGAGAGACACTGCGAAATTACCATAAACCAACATAAACCAACATTGTGAGAGAGACTCGCAGAGAGTCACTGCGAAATTACCACAGCCCTGCCAACCACACACAACAGATGGGAACAGAATTCAAATTTTAAAAATCTATTTTATGCAAATAAAATTGGTGTTCTTTGAAGGGCAAAAAAAAAAAATTGGAGGGCTATGATTTTATCAGAGTGCTGGGCTGGTTTGCTCCAAATACCCACCGCAGAGTGATGAGGAACTTCTCCATGCTGACACTCTCTCTGCCACCGAAACGGAAGGAGCCAAATCCCCCCGAGAAGAAATCGTCGAACGGATGAAAGCCCCTGCCAGGGTGCGCATGCGGGTTCCTCTGCTGCTCTTGGGCCGAAGTGTAGCCATAGTTGTCGTAGTCTGCCCGGCGTTGGGGGTCACTCAGTGTCTGGGTGGCAGTGTGAGGTATAACGGATGATGAGGCATTGAAAAAACATCAACAAAGTACAAAGTGTCTTGAATGTTCATTTGTTTGCACTGAAGATTAACAAACAACTAGATACAGATCAGTTGTTCCAGGGAAAACATCCCTTTCACCCTCTGACTGTCTTTAACAGATATTGCCATTCCTTTACTGATAATTTAAAAACAATAAAGCTCAGCCTCCTTACAGAACCACAGCAAAGAAGTAGAGCCGCCCCTTTAGGGAAATTTTTAGACAAATTAAAACTCAATAGAACAAAACTTAACAACAAAGTACGATAAAAATATCTCTAATGAGAGCATGGAAGTTGTGTAAACAGAGAAAAAGACTAAACAATTACGATACAAGCAGGGCTTATGTAACAACAAATCAAAAGATGCAAAGTTTCAAAGTTCCAACCTTAGTGATGTAAGAATGTTGTTTTTTTCTCATTATTCATTATGTCTTTTCATTATTCATTATGTCTTAGCCTGGTGTCTTGATAGACCCGAGCTCTCATTGAAACAGCATGCGGTCTATCTCATAGCTCCTTTACTACCAACCTCATAAGCTTCATTGATTTTCGTGAATTTGTCAGTTGCAGAAGGATCTTGATTTTTATCAGGATGCCTGTAAATGAAAAAAAGAGTACACATATATCATATATAAAAACCTTGTGAAACATTCTTAGAGATTTAGATTTATACAGTTTCAGTTGAAATGCCTAACACAATTTTTAAAATTTGCAGACTGAGCCAAAACAAAACACATTTTTCCCCTCTTTGCCTTTTGAGACAGTGACTGAGTTCTTTACCTGGAAACAAGCACAAAATTGGGAATTCAGACTAGATCTCTACCAGTGTACTGAAAATGTCCTAGTCGAAATATATATTTAAAAACAAAACAGAAACGTTTCATAGGAGAGCTTCTCAGAGTTTTCAATTCTCAAAAATGTACATATTAATAATAGCTTGTCCGTCAATGTCTGACGATGACCAATACATCCGCAGAGGAGAATATTTCTCCAGAAAAATAGAAGAATTTGAAGAATTAAAGCTTGAGATGGCTTGTGGCTTCAGCTGCGGCCGATGAGACCAGTTGTGGCAGAGGAAAGTTTGCCACATTTTGAACATGATCTAAAATATACTACGAACAATGCAGACAAACACCTACTAATTGTGGCTTTAATTTCAAGGAGAGATAGCAAGAGTCAGTTTTCAGCTTTTGTAGTCATTTATGCATTGTTATTCAAGTCCTTTTGATGTTTCCAGTGAACCGGTGATATTATGTAATTATGATCCACTTCTTTCTGAAGGTCTATAATTAATTTTGGGTTCCATCTGATCTATTTTTATAGGTCATGGAATGCCTATTTTATAATAAGTACAAAGATCACTCTAGAACAAAATGTTCTTACCTGAAAACGTAAAAATTTTCAATACAGCCAGATACAGTTAATAGTTCAATATCTGTGTCATGACCAAACTCTACGGACTTCTTACTAATCATAATCTTTAATGAGGACAGAATTTTCAAACCCATTATTTTACTGTCCAAAAGTACATTTCACCCATTGTCAATTTTTTTCCTAAAAGTTTTATAATTTTTTAAGACAAAAGCCTCTGTCTGTAGGCATATATAGAGGCAATTATGTGAACAGTGCTGTAAAAATTTCATGGGCCTAGTGATAAAATAAAATTTTCAAGATGCATTGTTCTTCATATAAAGTATACCACAAGACAACAAAAACTCAATTTTGAGAAAAATGCAAAAAATTTCTCAGCAGAACTTCAGCTTTCGCTGTATTTACGAATGAGACCCTTCACGTTTAGGTCTTGGGCTTCAATTCTTAAGATATATGAAAATTGGCTGAGAGATTGATCAATAAACGGCTGAGATCTCAATGATTCCGATGTCACCACATTTCATTTTTCAGGTACCTTCCCCCTGCGGGAGAACCTGTTGCTAAGGCTCGAATTTCAGGTATTTTCCGGAGAGCAAATAAAATTCAAGTTAAAAAAAAAAACACTTATTACTTTAGAGCAAAATTTTTTGGGGGGAAGTGTTTTACGGTGTTCCCAATTGAATAAGGTTAAGTTATATGAGCGTGCGGGACACATTAAACATTTTCAATTTAGAAGGAATTTTTATTCTTAAGATAAATTTTTGCCTAGGTGGGGGCCCCCAGCCTCTAGTCTTACATAAATTGATTCTGAACCACCAAGGGACCTTTAACATGCGGAACTTGCACACATAGGACCTCCAAAATTTTTCGTCTTTATGCGAGAAGGCTAGAAGGTGTTAGATTTTACCTACCCTAAGACCAGAGATGTGGCTGAAAGACAGCAGTAAGAAGGAGCCAAGGAGTAGCAATAGAAATACTGGAGAAAGAGTCAGGAGCCCAGAAGAGGGGGCAAGAAAGTAGAGATGAAAGCAGAGGACGGAACATGGCAGGGAGCTGAAAAGGAGTGAAAGGAGAAATTTCTAGAGAAGAAAATTTTCCGTCACTGTCAGGCTTCGAACATAGGACCTTTTGAATGAGAGGTGAACACCATAAAAAACCTCTAGACGGCGAGAGCCCCCAGGAAAGTTTTCAAGTTTAAAAGTACGTTTTCAAGGAAAACAAAAATTGAAAATGGATTCTTTTTCTCATAATTGTTGTAAAATTGATTTTTTACAATTGTCCCAATATCTTATCACCAGATGAGTTAATTTTTCTGGTGCCTTTCCCATCGATTGCCTTAAAGAACAATGTTAACTCCTGACTCCTTTCTCTTCTCATTGGTTTTCAAAATGTAGCAGACTACAGCTGTAGGCTGCACTGAAAGTACTTTATTTTAGTTTCAGAGTCATCTGTCTGGGTCCACACCTTAACCGGCCTCATTTGTGATGACTTACTTGGACTTACGGCTTAGAGTCTAGGCTTAGAAGGGGGAAAATATTTACGACATGAAACGGATGAATCAGTTGCCTAGGCCTAGCCTACTCTAAACAAAGAAGAGCAGAGGATGAATAGCTCCATAGCCAACTGCACTGTCGTCATTGTTAATATCAGAATCAGTGTTGCGAACTTAGTCATAGTTTAATAGATTACAATATAATTAGACCTAGATCTAGATCTAGATCTAGAATAGATCTTAGCTAGAAATCTAGATAGCATAGCATCATTTCATAATGTTAGATTAGAGTAGTCAGTAGTGTTAGTTGTTAGCAGTGGGTAGGCAAGCAGTCAAGTAAAGCAGGAACTTACCATTCCCTCGCCAAAGTTTTATACGCCTTTTTTATTTCCTGGCTACTGGCTGACTTGTGAACACCAAGAATATCATACAATTCATTAGAGGCAACAGTAAGATAGATAAAAACGATAAACACAACAGAACTATACGCGAATTTGATCGCCATCATTGAAGTAAAGTTCCAGAATGAATAACCAGAGACCTTACTCAGCGTTTTGTTTTGAGTCGTTAAACACATGAACTCGATTCTAGATTTTACTTTTCAATGTCGATAGTCTTTTTCTTTTTGCTATATTATCCTCGAGGACATTCGTGGCCGTTTCTAAACTGATTTGCGAATAATTGAGAGACCATAATATTATTGTCCTTCGTACTTTCATGAGTCAGTTATATTTCCATAGATGATAGAGGGTAGGCCTCACAGAATTCTACACGTAGAATTCTGTGGCAGGCCTTGACTGGCTCCAGCTTCAGTGAAAAGTGTAATTTGTAGTGAAACATGAATGAAAGATACATGTTTTGGGGGCGGGGGGGGGGGGGGGGGGGGGGAGTGTTTTACGGTGCTCGCAACTGCATAAGGTCATATGAGCGGGCAGTACACATTTAAACATTTTTAGTTTTAGTATGACGTAGGATTTAATTTTGAATTTTGCCTGGACGGTGGCCGAAGCCTACTCTTATCGATTTTGGACCATCAAGACATATTTAACATGAGCAACTTGCATACGGGGCCTCCCCGATGTTTTGCCCTTATCCGAAAAAGCTAAGCGTTAGATCTTACCTACCCTAAGATCAGGGGTGTGGCTGAAGAAGCCAAGGAGTAGCCTAGCTGTAGAAAGGCTGCAAAAGGGTCAGGAGCCCAGAGGGCAAAGGGGGGGGGGGGTAAAATAATAAAATGTAGACGAAAGCAGACGACAGTACATGTTTAGCAGGCAGGTAAAGGGAGTGAAAGAAGAACATTTTAGAGAATGAAATTATCTGTTGCTGTTAGGTTTTGAAGGTATTATAACATAATAGACTGTAGTGTGTACTAGATCTATATTTTCTTTAAACTAATAAAGGATCGTGAATAATGTCAAGGGCTGGCCTAGGTGTGTAAATATTCTCGATGTTGTATAACCATTCAAAACTGTATCTATCTTCTTTACGGGGCTCTTTGCTTTGAAAATAATTGAATCCCCTATTTTCCAAAGCAAGATTAGAAGATTTCAAAACAATTCTTCACATAACTAGGCCTAACAATTGGAAATCTATAAAATAATTTACATTTGTCAATAGTATGCCAAGTTTTTGGGAAACTAGATCAAACGAAGTTTTGTTTCATTGAAATTTTTAGAAACTAAAAAGATACCGGCAAAAACAAGTCAGCAGTCTAATGACAGAAACTGCTTTTTGACAATAATGAACGCTTTAGGCATTTCGATTGTTGTTGTTTATGTTTGTTTGTTTTTGTTGATGTCGTTGTTTTATTTTTATATTGGATAGGTGGGATGTTGGCTCTAGGCCTCGAAAAAAAATTTACAAGCCTTCCACTGATCAGAAGGGGGACTTTTTTCAGTGTATCATTTTTATAATGCTGGATGCTTTGCGCCTTTCTGGGTACAAACTTTTTGTATATTTACGGTAAGTAGGCGGATATTAGAAACTTTACCCAAACACCAAACGTGAGTAGAGAAGTAGAGAATGTTTTGATTATTTTAGAAGCCGACTGGATGTAATTGGGTTTACTTTTTCTTCTTTTCATGGCTTTCAGTTGATCCATGGGTTGCTTTCTCTTTTCATGAATTTATTCTGTACTGCTTATGCACGTTTTAGACGTCTGTTGATTTTGAGTTTCCTTCGAGAAATGTTGCAGACTATGAATCATAGTCTGTCATAGAGAAGACTCCATCTCCCCTTCTTTGAATCATTCTCATGGCGGATACTTTCACTTTCGTGGATTAGGTTACCCTTGATATGTCAATTCTAGGCGCTTCTCAAGCATTTAAAATACACTGAATTAAATGGATTTATGTATAGATCTATATCTAGATCTAGAACAGTAATTCAGCTTTGGCTGTTTAGAAACAGTTGTGGATGTTATTTTTAGAATTAAAAATTCCCGTATTCATTGTTTCAGTTTCAGTTTTGTCTGCTTTGTTCAACAGCCACTCCACTACTAATATTCAAGACCAAGATGTCGGACGACTGGGGTGATCTGATTACAAAACAGGAGAAAGGAGAAAAGAGTCTAACCACACAGGTTGGAGCTAATGATGTATTGTAAATGGAAGTGGTTATTCGCACCGGGTATGCGCATAAGAATTAATATTATTCGCACCGGGTGTGCGATAAGAATTAATATTACGAAGTGACTATTTCTCCGAACGTTCGGAGAAATAGTGCCCATCTTTATTTCTCCGAACGGTTTCCGGCTTCCGGTCTCGTGATGTTTTGCCTATTTATTGCGAGAGTTCGGCGCCAACTTTCATTCTGCCTCTGGTCTGGGGGAAGGAACACCGCATGGAAAGCCCGCCTACAGACAACCTTCAGTAAAACCCACCACACACCCACCACCATCATGCACATGTACACACATAAACTTATACACACACTAACTAAACAAACATGACCAATGGACAACTTTTGAACGTATGACGAGCTGAGCTGTGGATGGAGAGACAGTGTGAGTGAAAGAGCGGGTTAAAGGAAGAATGTGCGAGTGTATCCACACCCGACAGCAACTACAAGACGACGACACCGACCCCCCTGGCCTGGTCCACAGCTCACGAACGAGAATAATGCAGCTTAGGCAGTGTTTTGCCTATATTATTGTCCATGGTTCGCAGGGTGCAAGGGAATGAGTGAGATTTTCTTTGTGTATGCCTGGAGGGAGGGGGTGGGGTGTGAAAGCCATGCGGACGGGGATGAGCCGCGGGAGAGAACACGGGAATTGAATGAATGAGTGAAACTGAAAAAGATTAACGACTCGTGAGCCCTGGAGTGAATGGATCCTGTGTTTCTATTTTTGTATACTTTGAACTGTTACTGAATGAAGGCTGAAATAAAGCCCGAAAAACAAACACACACACACTCACTCTCCACTTACACACTTACTATCACACACAGACACACTCACACACGCACATACATACACACACACACACACACACACACAGGAGCAAATTTTTGGGTCTATATTTATTTCAATTTTCAAGAGCTAGTCTAGAGACTTTTAGATGAGTGTAAAAACGTGAAAAAGAAAGGTTTCACAACAGAATGAAATCAAAATTAGAACAGCCCATGATAAACAACAAACATTAACAAATATGGGCGTGTGTCCACCTGTCCGAAGAAGATTGGCTGTTTTAACCCTAAATGTGAGTAATTTTTTTTTTTTTAAAGGAGAGGATATTACATGTAAATTATGGAATCACACACCTTAAGGGGCCTGCCAGTGTCGGTACATTATTGGTCGTGGCAGTGACCACCGCAGATGCCAGTTCTAATAGTTCTATGTGTCGTTATCAATAACCCTCCGTAGATCTAGATCTAGATCTAGACAGCACACGAGTGAACACAACACATTACGTTTTAGAGCAGCACCCTTCATAGGCAACTCGTCATATCTGTAGCGAAAAACTGTTTGGAATTGTAGCATTCTTTATATAAATATTTACTGCGGACATTTTTTGGACCGCTTGAACCATATTGTATACGAACAATCTTTGGTAGGCCTATACTATAATTATATATCTATATAATATCCTAAATTTGCGGGAAAGGATGTGATTTCAGAGTGTTCGGAGAAATAGTGCCCAGCTTTATTTTCCCGAACGTTCGGAGAAATAGTGCCTAGCTTTATTTTCCCGAACGTTCGGAGAAATAGTGCTTAGCTTTATTTTCCCGAACGTTCGGAGAAATAGTGCCGGCCTTAATATTATTCGCACCGCGAAACTAGGTGGCCTATATAATAAGCTTACCTGCGTGGCATTTTCATTTTTCAAAACAGAGCCCTGAGGGAACTTTGCCAGTAGCGTTCTCTTGGCCCCAAGGCTATCATGCGTCGCAAATCTGAAATTACTCAACACCTAGGTCTAGCTTTTCTAGATCTATTCAGCATGGAAGTGGGAGCAAAGTTCAAGAGCTTTTCAGAGTTCACAGAGGCTCTGAAAGAGTATGAAAGTACTAACACAAAATTTGTGGTGACACGATTCACCAAAATTGGCCAAACAGACCCCCTGAGTGCTGTGTACGTGTACCAGTCGATCGGGTTCCAGTGCAAGCAGGGGCAGTGCCACCATTATTGTATTCTTTAAATTAATAAACAATTTTTTTTTTAAAAAGATCAAAGGTGTAAATATAAAATGCACCCTGTACAGGTTCTATCTAAATGTACACGTGTACTTTTTGGTTGACGGCAGCTTGACGGGGGGGGGGGGGGGGGGTGTCCTGGGAAAGATGACAAGAGGGGTGGGGTCATTTGTGAACAGTCCTTAAAAGTAAAACTGCAATCATTTGGCCATAAATAATATGATGTATTACTACAGAGTTACTAAATAAAGTTGATTTTGGACCTCATTTGTCACACCCAGGTATCCCACCTTTAGTTTTAGGCAAAGGGTTTTAATTTTGGAAAGCACTGGGAATAGGCCAGAATTGGTCCCAGTGTCACTGGGATGAGGCCAAGAAACTATTCCCACTGACACTGAGAACAGACAGGCCCATTAGATGTCTAGATATCTATTGTTCCCACAATGATCTACATGGGCATGATGATGATGGGTTACTAAATACTAGACTATACACATGTATTTTTCTTTAACTTATGTAGATCTAGATATTAAGAGTAGATTCTGGTGTGAGTGTAAGAATTTTTTTTTTAAAGAAAGGAATGGTCATTCTATGCTTGCTTGTTATTCATCATGTACATTAGATCTAGATCTAATACGGATTTTGGAGACCACGGTACAGGACAGGTAAAAATCCTTCCCGGTTTTCCATTTCTTCTAGAATCTAGGCTACGGTCAAGTCTTGGCCCAAGTAAGCGAAGAGAAGAAAAGTCTGAACTTAATTGAGAAGAGAGCCTACAGTACACGTTAGAAACGAATCTAGATACCTCCACCATGTCTCCCCCTCTTTTCACTGGTCTGGTAAACTTCACCCGCGCCTCTATCGTCTCTCATTAGTCTCATGGTACCTCTTAGGCCTAGCCTAGGCTGGCAATGTGGGTCCACTAAAGTAAAGTTCTTGTGCAGAGCAAACTATAAAATGTTCCTGGTCCACTTTTCTCTGTTTATTATAATTGATTTGCATGTGGCAGCCCCCTCCCCCCCCCCCCTCCCCCGACTGTCGAATACTATATCTATAAGTATCCTAATAACTTAAGTGCTGAATGTGTGGTCCACCAAAAATTAGCGTACTACGACTAATTCAGAAAACCAGGAACCTGCTGGTCCATCCTCCACTTCTGGTCTCCCTCCGCTGCCTCCCCCTCAAAAGAAAAGGAGCAAAAATAAGCCTACGACATGTAATCAAGAAAATCAGGAACCTGCTGGTCAATCATCCACTTCTGGTCTCCCTCCACTGCCTCCCCCTAAAAAGAAAAGGAGCAAAAATAAGCCTACGACATGTAATCAAGAAAATCAGGAACCTGCTGGTCAATACTCCACTTCTGGTCTCCCTCCACTGCCTCCCCCTAAAAAGAAACAGCGGATGGGATCAAGTAATACTAATATAATAGTGAGAACCCTGCGCCTGTTCCTGCGGTAAACGTCCTCATCCGATGCTTAGATATTCCGGACTTTGATCTTTTCAATGATTTAGATAACAGGTCCGTTTACAACTTTGTCTCGTCCCCCCTTCTCTTTCTCTATCTCTCTCTCTCGTGGTATTCTCGCAGCCCTCACTCACTCCGCCTCGCGTCGCCGGGAACTAGTTCGCGTAGCGGTCGATTAGGACCCATGACTGTATAAGTATAAGTCCTTTGTTTGCCTAGTGCGCATTAATACATATAAACACGGTGGGTCCACCAAAGTTCAATCCAGCCCCTATGATCTTTGTCCTTGCGCGATGAGGGGAAAAAATGAGGAAATGGTTGGCCGATTTCCATCCTTCTTTTGAAACACCCTGTGCGAATATAACTTCATAGTATTCACACACCCTGTGCGAATATAATTTCATAATATTTGCACACCCTGTGCGAATAAAATTTCATAGTATTCGCACACCCCGTGCGAATAAAATTTCAAAGTATTCGCACTCCCTGTGCGAATAAACTTTCATAGTATTCACACACCCTGTGCGAATAACTACAGCCATTGTAAATATTCAGGCCTAAATCTAGATTAGATTCTTAGATCTCTGCTTGACTGTGATTTGTGATAAGGTGATAAGGTTAGCCTTTTTTTAGGCGCTAGTCTCTAGATACTAGCTACTAGCTAGATATCTAAATAGAGATCTAGTCGTAAAAGTTGAAGTGAAAGGTCAGTTTAATTCAATAATTGTTTTGGATTTATTATGTGATAGAGGCCTAATTTGTACCTGAAGCCACAACGAGCACCTCTAGCACACTTCTGTGATTGGTCCAAATATAGAGATCAGGTAGGCCTATTTTTACCATCTATTTTGTCATTTTCCAGGGTTTCCCCCAAGACTCCCCTCGCCAGTAGGTCAGTAAGCTATTTGTTGACTCAGTCTTGCCTTCTCCTCAAAGTTGTGCACACTCACACTCAAAAACACACGAATGCATGTGCGCACACTGGGTGAGACACACTCACACACTCACAAACACACGCAAGCGCACACACAGCCTAAACAGTCGGCGATGAAACCTAGTGACGTAGCCCATCGCGCGCTAAGCGGCAAAGCGGGCCCCCCCCACAATGAGATCTAGTCAACTTGCAAGGGAAGCCCCGGAAGACGACTAAAATAGATCGTGGAAATACACCATCTTTATTTTATCACAGAGGAGTGCTAGTCGCTCGCTGTTGCTTCATGTCTAATTTGTTTGTATTACCGTCAAACTTGCTCGCACGCCCACCTGTCCAGACAATCACCTCTACATAGTTACTAGTACAAATGACCACATCCCACTCTTCCCTTTGGTTGTTTGGTTGTTTTTTTTAATTATGTCACTGTTCAAGACTTCCTCCTCTATCTGAGACGACCATTGTTCTCCTCGCCAAGGGGTGGCTGTCTATGGAACAATTTTTACTGTATAGTATATGTGTGTGTTATTATTACTGGACTTTCCTGAGAACGAAATAGGTCAGTGAATGATAAATTCTCAGGTGTTGCGTTTAGATTATAGATAGATCTCTCCTCAGTTTGTTTATTTTTATGTCCATTTTGTTGAAAAAGCCAGAGAAGAAAAAGATTGTCGTTTGAAAACAGTCAGTATCACAGGTGAGACATCATGAGAGTAGTACTGCACTTTTGTCTTGCCTTTTCTTAAAATGTGGGTGTCTCTGAATATTTGATAGAGATATCTTTCTACCTGTGGTAAAAAATAAAAAGAAATAATAAAAAATTTCATTTGTGCTTTCAGACTGACAGAATACATGAGAGGTGATCCCTTAACTTTTTCTGTGCCAAGAATCATCTGCGTTTAGCTATCAGGCGTAAAGAAATGTAACGATATGTCGGTTCACGGTATAGAAAGAGTTTTAAAGCTTAAATGGTGATGCTGACTTGCAAACAAAATGTTTCTTTTGAGATGTATTGATTTGAAATAAAATTTAAATATTTGGTAAACTATGGATCATTTCTTACCCCTAAATACTGTTTTTCTTTGACAGATTTGATATTAACTTTTAAAGTTTCTGATTACCAGATTGATGACTTGAGGATTCACAAAGATGAAGGCCAGTCAGGTGGTGCCAGTCCAGTGGCCGTGAAACAAACCCAGGACAATGCTGAACAGCAAGGGGCAGGGGAGAACAAACCTCCAGATGAATCAACAGATGACAAAGGTATATTTGATGTCAGAGAATATATATATGTTTCAGTTGTATCGCTGAAGTCTTGTCTTTTTGTCCTGCTGTGTTCCCGATTTTTGTGCGCAATGTTTCATCTCACAGCATAAAAACATCTCTAACCTGTTTGACAGCAGTGTGTGTAATTTCAAAGAAATTTATACTCTTCCTTACTTGTATGCACGTTGAGGGTAGGAAATAGACTATGGTCAGTCGGTGGTTGTTGTTTTTTATTGAAGAAAGTTACTCTTCTTATCAGATTTAGAACTTGATTTTTAGTGACTTGAGACTCATTTTGACTGGGTTTGTGGAGATTTTAAAAAATCTAGTTTAGAGGTGGATGTTTTACGTAATTTTGTCTTCTTGTTTTCTCTTTTCAGTGTCCAAAAGTGATATATCACTGCTACAGAAGCTTCTTCACTCGAAACTGGTCCATAACAAAGCTGATCTTGAGGTCCTGAGAAAAGATCCAACGTCCCCTTTGCACTCAGTAAAATCATTTGAAGCGTTACATTTGTAAGTGTATATTTTTGTGTGCATTGTTGACTATAGATATAACAGTGGAGCTTGCCCTAATGGTCACATGTCCAAGACAACAGCCTGTAGAAATGACCACTTCCCACAAGTTCTTTCTTCACATTTTTTCTATTCGTACACCTGGGGTCATTTTGTGCCCCAGGGGTTGTATTCTTCACATTTTAGAATATTTGTAGTGCGAAGATCTCTTTGAAACTTTCGGTATTTCTCAAAAAATCATTTTTGACAGACTGCTATGCAAAGCGTACGGATCGGATTAACGAGTAAACTTCCTCTTTGGAAATAGGGGGCACAGAGTTCCTCACGTCGTATGGATACGATAGTGAAACACGATGTACGGATAGGGTTAAAATGACTCTGTCCAGGACGTCCACCTGTGTAAGACAACCACTTTTCTCCTTCACAATGGGTGGCCATCTTCAACTATTTTGACTGTAGTTATTTCCTCTGATTGAGGTTATGTCAGAAGGTGATGCCTCAATTTTAAATTGATTTATGCCCCTTGTACAGTTTTTTTGAGTGTGTTTGCCTGTGCCTGAATTTGATTTTTGTTTGTTTGTTTGTTGGGGTTTGTTGTTTTGTTTTGGGTTTTTTTTTGGGGGGGAGGTTATGTTCCAGGTGGAGCACAAAAAAAGCATGGAAGAAGAGTTTCACATTTCTTGAATTTTTTAATCAGGCATTATTGCTGTCATAAGAAAAAATGTTTAACTGTGTGCCCGTGCCTTACATAGTGAGCAAATGATTTTGGAGTAACTCATTCTCTCGACAGCAACAATGTAATCTAGATAACCTTTTGTGAGTTCAAAATACAACTTTTGGGAACATCACGTGGTCAATATAATCTTGTTGATGGATGATTGCTTAACACTTACAGTACCGCAGGCTCATATTGTGAAAATCCCTCAAGTACCGCACCAGTTTAGAACGCTGAAGCCGTGGTAGAATTTTTTTAATTAAAAAAACCTTGGCAGCCAAAGTAACACATTTTAAAAATTCATAGAGGTTCATCAACCATTCAGCTGTCATATAGAGTGACTTCCTTTGGTATTTACTTCAGTGCAGTGCGTCCATTCTTTGTTTATTTATGTTTAGTGCGCCTGGTTCCGTCGGCGACTAAAGTCACTAGCGGTAGTGAGCTCATGTATACTACGGCCTGGCGACAGATGATACTGTAAGTGTTAAAAGGCTGCAAATTTTCTCAGAATCTGAAATAGTCCGTACTTTTTGTTCTAAGTGTCGGCTTTCATCATAATTCATCGTTACATACAGTCCTTTATGTGAGAAAAATAACCAGCCTGTCAAGGTAGCTTCCTTAGACATTCCGATCTTCTGAGAATGGAAGAATCCCTCAAAACCTTAAAATTGTTAACCTATTGAGATATTTCATTTCCTTCCTGCGGACTTATTTTGTGGTGAAATCAAGTGGTCCCGTGAAGTAAGGAGATTTTCAGTTTTAGTTCTGGGGTATATTTTGTTTGTCAGCTGACAAGGAAAAGTTACGACCACCAAACTGTGAGACTCCTTCCAATGAAATAAAAAGTGAAGAAATGGTTAGTTTGGTCACTGATAAGTTAGTATTTCATTACCCACTTTTATTTACCTACCTCAATGTTTTGTATAATTAACTTCCTTGTAGAAAACCTCAACTGTTGAAAGGTGTGTACGACATGGGATTCAATGCTCCCTCGAAGATTCAAGAGACGGCTTTGCCAGTGTTGTTAGCTGACCCGTAAGTACCAAACTTTTTTTTAACTTTCTTTTTTTTTTAAATTCCCTTGGTATTTTGCTATTTTGATTGACTTCTTTTTTCACTTAATGTGATTCAAATCGTTTAATTTCTGTGACGTTTTTTGAGATGTTGTTTTGTACTTGTTTTTTTTAAGTTTTTAAAAAGTCATTTTAAATGTTAGTTTAATCACCATTTATTGCCTGATCTACTTCACCTTAGATGTTTTTCTGTAAGCATAATTGGAGATCGTTAACACAGTTTTAGGTGTAGGCCTATTTGTGGCGTCATTGGCTTAGTGGTTAGGCTATCGGACTGGTAATCGTGAGGTTGTCGGTGGTCTAGTGGTTAGGCTGCCAGATTCGTAATCGTGAGGTTGCGGGTTCGGGGTTCGAGCCGGGTGGCCCAACGTTGTGTCCTTGGGAAAGGCACTTTACACGAATTTTCCCCACTTCACCCAGGTGGGAATGGGTACCCAGCCATACACAGCGAAAGATCTTGTCATTTTGTTTGTGTTTTTAGCCCCTGTAAATGGCTGCTTGCACTGTATGCTTCCCAGGAAGTTGAGGTTGTTTCAGAAAAATCTCAGGTCTGCTGAGGTAATAGTATAGATTGTGAAGTGCTTAAAGCTTGCTGTTGAGCGGAGATTTGCGCGATACAAATGCTATCTATTATTATTACTATCTGATTTTAAAGAAGACACACGAAATTTTGTTGTGGTGGGTGTGCGGATCATGTTGTTGTACGAATGTCTTACAATCATGTTCACATCTGTTCACAGGCCTTGTAACATGATTGCCCAAAGTCAGAGTGGAACGGGAAAAACGGCAGCCTTTGTCCTGACCATGTTGAGTCGAGCTGATTCCTCCAAACCGTACCCACAGGTCAGATTGCCGACTACTTTTTGGAGTTCATTTCTGATGTTCACTGTATTATTTCATTTCATGCCGAAATTTGCTGTGGATGGTTGGATGATGTTTTGGTGGGGTTTGCCAGTTCTTTCCTATCAAACGTCCTATCGTCCTTATCTCTCCTACTTTTTCTTTTTCTTTGTATGTTTTGCTCTTGTGCCGCTTTCTAATCTTCGGCACTTATATGACCTTATTGTGTAGCAAGTGCTGTAAAATGCATTACAATCGCGTAAACGAAAGTAATGATTTTCCAGTTGAGGAAGAGTTCTCTTGATTTGTTGTGAGATTTTTTTTTTGGTTTGTTTTTGTTTTGTTTTGTTTTTTCGGGGGGGGGGGGAATGAACTTTTTAGTATCGTAATCTCCCTTCCCTCCCCTTATCGACAGTGGTCTGAGAGGAAGTAGTTTGAGAAGGATGAGGAAAATGTATACCTGCCCTGATTTAAACCCATAATTCCTATACATTGATGAGGTTTAACTTTCTGCAGAACAGCAACAAAAAAGTCAGTGTGGTGAGAATCCTAAAAATTGCCCTGTCCTAAAATTTGCCGCGGACCTCCCTTGCAGTAGTTGTGTAAGGGCTTCTAGCTGGCCTGTTTGATTTTGTTGGTTTGTTGGGGGTGGTTTGTTTGTTTGGGGGGGGTGGGGTTTTGTGGGGGGGA